ACACTTCTCTGACTGCCCTAAATACAGTTGCCTTACTCAGGTGCTCTGCATCTCTGACATTGTACAAAAATTTTCATTTGCAAAGAAATACAGCACAACACACAGTATCTGCTGGGATGTGAGAGCATGACTACAGGTGGTAATGTTGCACATGTAAGGACGGATTAGATTGTATGTAGATGATGGACTGTGACGTGAAACGGTACCACTCAAAAAGGTCTGATAACCATCTCCCGACGAATATTTAATTCTCTACGCTGTAATGCTGCACCTTCATCCACGGGGTCGTTATCAAAAGGACATGCCATATTAGTGAAAAAAGTCAACACTTTTGCCTAATGGACTTCTAATATAACCTACTCACTGATTTTTTAAAAATGATTTTTGACAGAACTAGGCCATGCCAAAACTTGCCTGCTGACTGAATGAATGAAGGAATGAAGAAATCAAATGGTGTGTGTGGCCGAAAAAGGGCGGAAACAGAGAGAAACTCCAGGTTCACTGAGGAAAACCTGGTCCTGACCAGGTTAGGTTCATAGAGTCTGTTACTACGGTAATTGGCCGAGGTCTTAAGTTAACTCTCTCTGTGAAACAGGCTAGAGTTACCCCTCTTCCTCTGGTTTGAGTTACCTCCCTTTGTGAAACGGAAAACTTAGTTTCCCTCATTTCAGGGTTAACAGACTAAGAGTTTTCACTAAACCTGCTTTGTGAAACGGACCCCTGGTGGCAATAACAGGCGATTCTAAATCGAGAGAAGTGCCACAGACAGGGTCACCTTAGTGGCTGCAGAAACTGTTGGAAGCTTTTACTTATTTTACAGTTTTTTTGTTTGTGATGAAGAAGAGTGATGAAAAATGTTATTCATATTTAGTTACATTTGATGGTCACCGAAACTCAGTGGACGCTTTAGTCTAAGAGCCCAGATTCTTCAAGTTTATCCACATGACGATATGCACTGCACACCTAGTTTACTGAAGAGAGGTTGAATTCTGAGGCCCGCTGATGATTTTGTTACCTTTAAGAAACAGCGCATTGTGGGTAACCTGTGTGTGACACAGGTCCAGTGTTGTGCGACATGAGCAACTCTAAGTATGCAAAAGTGTTTACCAGTAAAGTTATCAGCCTGTAAAATGTGTGTCCTCTAAAACGTGTTCACCAGTTTTGGAAGTTTTTTCCCTTTTATTGCTTTTCATAATTGAATCATGATCAATATAATTTGACTTTTTTGAACAGAATTTGTTTGACACTTCAAAGTTAAATTAAAAAACTGTAATTATTCAAACAGACCTACCTGAACCTAACATCCCTGATCAGAGTGGACCCGCGCACAGCCAAGCCCAATTGGAAAAGACCCCAGAATAGTGAGAACAGATTCAAAATGGAGTCAGCGCAAACAGCAGGATCGGTTAATTCAGTCTACCGACAGTCGGAGTGTCACTGTTCTTTTTAAAGAAGGAAAAATACCAAACAGTTTCTGGTACAGAGCTCTCAGATGTGACATTTTGTTGCTTTTTTTGGTCTCACATGGCTGGACGGCAAATCTACTACATAGTAACCACCTAAATAGGCTAGCCTCACAAATAAACAATCTTTCTCCAGAAATACAACCCTCACCTTAAATTTATAATAAAAGATAATAGATTAATTAGAGTCCTACTGATTTATTAAACATCCATCCATCCATTGTCTTCCGCTTATCCGGGGTCGGGTCGCGGGGGCAGCAGGCGGAGCAGGTCGTCCCAGACCTCCCTCCCCCCGGCGACGCTTTCCAGCTCTGCCTGAGGGATCCCAAGGCATTCCCAGGCCAGCTGAGAGATATAATCTCTCCAGCGGGTCCTGGGTCTGCCCCGGGGTCTTCTCCCAGGTGGACGAGTTCGGAAAACCTCCAGAGGAAGCCTCCCCGGAGGCATCCGAACCAGATGTCCATACCACCTCAACTGACTCCTTTCGACGCGAAGGAGCAGCGGCTCTACTCCGAGATCCCTCCGAATGTCTGAGCTCCTCACCCTATCTCTAAGGCTGAGCCCAGCCACCCTGCGGAGGAATCTCATTCCGGCCGCTTGTATCCGAGATCTCGTTCTTTCAGTCACGACCCAAAGCTCGTGACCATAGGTGAGGGTTGGGACGAAGATGGACTGGTAAATCGAGAGCTTCGCCTTGCGGCTCTCTCTTCACCACGACGGTCCGGTGCAGCGCCCGCATTACTCTGACGCCGCACCGAGCCGCCTGTCCATCTCACGCTCCATTTTCCCATCACTCGTGAACAAGATCCCGA